AGAGAGAGAGAGAGAGAGAGAGAGAGAGAGAGAGAGAGAGAGAGAGAGAGAGAGAGAGAGAGAGAGAGAGAGCAGTGTAACAGTTGAGGAGGGGACATGATATAGTGGCAGGGATTTTGAAGTTTGTAGTGCAGTCTCTATCACAAATGGGATGACAGTTTTGTAGATCATGTGAGAACTGGTTGATTTAAAGCTGGCACTTTTTCCACTCTGACTCTCCAATTTTGCAGCAATTCTTTCCCACAAACACTTGTATTGTTTGAATTGACGGTATGGATGCCGTTGGAAGACGGACCACATAGAAACATACATAAGCAATGGATGCAGGCTTCTCACCATATTTGGAAAAAGGCTGAAAAGTTTGATCCCAATGCAACCACCCAGTGTCCAAAACAAACAACAAGAATCACCATCTACAAGACTTAGTGTTAAAAAAAAAAAAAAGTAAGCTTTCACAGCCTTTCAGACAGAACTACCTCCCTCCTTTCCTATGCCTCCCTCCCTGTTTGCCTGCGTGTTGAGTCCAGAACCTCTACGAGTCGAGTATCATAATTTGACAGAACTACCTCCCTCCTTTCCTCTGCCTCCCTCCCTGTTTGCCTGCCTGTTGTGTCCGAACCCTCTACGAGTCGAAGATCATAATATGACAGAAGTGCCCCGGTCAGCAGCATGGACCTGTCTGCTGAATGTGCACAAGTTTTGTCATGCAAGGAAGACCTCGGAAACACCCTATTGCTGCAGGTCTTACTCTGTCCAGGGTGAAGATGAATGTGCCTGCACGCTTTTCAAGCCTCTGTCCAAGTGTTGGTTCAAACCATGGTCCAGATGGTTACATGCACTTCACGAAAACTGGACCCAAACGAAAGTAAGATGGACTTCGTGAAAACTGGACCGAAACGAAAGTTCATTTTGCCAAATTATGCGATACAGTTTTTCATAAACCAGTTTTGAGGGCAATATTTTGACCTTAGGATAATGTGCCACAACAAGAGAAGAGAAAATTGGTTTCGAAGAAAAAAGCAGTTAGCCCTGCGATTCATGTCTCACGACAAATAGTAGAAAACAGGTATTTTACGCAAACTGAAGGCACCCGAAGAAGCCACGTCGATGGCACAATAGTTTTGCAGAAAATTTCAGGTCGTCCACCAGTACAATAGAGAGACCATATAAGAAATGAAAATTGGTCGGGCTCTAGGAAGGGCAAAAGAGCAAAGATTCTGAAACCAATTCCCGATTCCCAATTCCCATCATCAACTCGGTCTCCACAAAAAAAGGCAAAGAAAAATCCTCTGCAAGTAACACTTGGGTTAGCATGCCCCACAATCAGAAAACACAATAATTAATCAGATCAACTGACAAAGGAGATATCACAAGCCGAAAATGAGATCAAGCTTCTTATTTATGAGTTCATGGCAAGTACGATGTGCAACGAGTAGCCCATGGTGCAAAACCCAACAGTCATGCAGAAAGCCTGCAGCCATCCAAGCAGTGAAGGGGGGGGGGCAGTGGAGGGGGGAGGGGGGAGCGGCGAAG